GTGCACTAAAAAAAGCACGTCAAGGGAGGTGATTCTCTCACTCTACTCTGCCCTCATGAGGCCACATTTAGAATATTATGTCCAGTTCTGGGCACCCAGGTTCAAAAAAAAAAAAAAAAAAAAATCATCTAGAAGGAGTCCAGCTGAGGACCAAAGGGCCTGGAGTATCTCACATGTAAAGAAAGGCTGAGTAACCTGGGTGTGTAACTTGACTGAGGAAAAGTCAACTGAGGGGGGATCCAATTAATAAATATCCAAAAGGAAGGGAGAGGCAAATACATGAGGCCAGGCTCTTCTCAGTGGTGCATAGTAACACGACAAGGAGCAATGGTTTAAAACCTGAATACAGGAAGTTCCATACAAATGTGGAAGAACTTCTTTACCATACGGGTGATGGAACACAGGTTGCCCAGGGAGGTTGTGGAGCCTCCTTCTATGGAGATACTCAAGACCCACCCGGATGCCTACTTGTGCAACCTACTGTAGGGAACCTGCTTTAGCAGGACAGTTGGATTCAATGATCTCCTGCGGACATTTCCATCTCCTGCAATTCTGTGCAACTCTGTGATTCTGTGAAGATCTGGAGGACAAGATACACGAGTTTCACTGCAGCTAAGGTTCATTAGTTTGTTTGACCCAGACAAGAGGAGTCAGAGAGATCTTACCACACCCGGCAGCTTTCTCACAAGGGGGAGCAAAGGGAAGAACACAGAACTGGGTCAGGTGGATGATAGGAAGATCATTCATCAGGAGTTAGTTGGGCACTGGAACAGGCTCCCCTGGGCAGTGATTATGGCACCAAGCCTGCCAATTTAATTCTTGAGTAGACCTGCATAGAGTGAGGAGTTGGGCTCAACCTTTGTAGGCCCCTTGCAGTTTGGGATATTCAATGAAACACGCACGCACACACACACACACACACACAAAACAAACAAACAAACACACACACACACACACACACACACACAAGTGTGTCTTTCTCAGGTCATGGAAATAGAGTGTTTGGCCTTTGAGTTTCATTCTCAAAATGCTTTTTTTGGTGTGATTTCAATTCAGGAGAAATTTTGAAAACAACTAGGAGGTGAATTGAATTTTAGAGTACACTTCTTTCTTCACTGAACAATCTTAGATGAGAAAGTTAAAAGGTTAATTTCCCAAGTGTCTCGTGCTTACATTTTAGATGGTGTATTTCAGCAGTGGCAACAACAGGTCACCTCCACTGATGCAGATTTTTTTAATTTATTTTTAGAAGCACAGCTCCAAGGCCTTGATAACTTCTGGTGAAAAATGCATAGCTAATGGTAGTGACTGTATTGAAAAATAGTGTCTTGTAGCTGAGAATGCGCTCTATCAAACAGCATTAGCAAGCTCTTCGCATCTACTGTAGTTTCCATGGAAATGAATAGGAAACATTACTTTCAGAGCAACCTATGCAAAAATGAAGACAAATACTTCCCTTAGTCCGGTTCAGCCAACAGGCAACTGGAAACAGTTTTTAACACTAATAGGCAGAGAACAGTACAGTGTTCTGAATTTCCAAGTTACAGTACTCTTAAAACAATTAATTTTTTTTTTTTGGCCTTAAACACCAGACTTGCAAATTTTCATTTTAGTGAACAGCACCTTTTTTGAATTAGCCATTAAACTAAAATGAAGAAAGTAGTTCTGTGGTTTTCAGTTTTCTTCTGTTTTTAATAGTACACTGAAATCCACAGAATGATCACTTGCTCTCACTACATTTCAGTCTTTGATTACAGTACTACTGAGGGACAATCTTATTTTGAAATTACTTCTTAATGGGAATAAATCAATCTCATAATTTATTGAATTCTCGAATTCCAATTGCACACATTGTACGTAAGCTACGTCGAGATATCAAATTATAGTGAGCAAAATAAAACCTTAGAAACATAATTATACAGTTCCAATAGTTGTTCTTGTTAGGGCTGTGGAAAATCCCTACATGAATCTGAAATTTCACTCCGTTGTGTCACATTCAGCCCAAGAACCACTTCCCATGCCCAAAGCTCTTTGATCCCAGATTCAGGGTGAAGTCCTGCCAGAGGCTAAGTGCTTCAGGAGGAAGTGTTAAAATATCCTCACCTTCACATATTCATGCTCATTCTCATTTGCAAGAAACTCTATTTCTCTTTTTAGACCTACCTGTGTCATTAAATACTATCATTCTTGGTATTAAAGACAAATCTCTAATCCATCATTCTAGTGCCAAGACTGAGACACATCTGAACTCCCATTCCTTGCTGAGCAGCAGATGTGAATGAAGCAGAAGCAGATAACTGATGGCTTATGTCACATCACACGTGAAGAGAGCGGAAGTGTACATCAGTAGCTAGATAACTGTGGCCCAACAGACAATGGGTTAAAGACAGACTCTAAAAGATGACAGTTCTCCCTGTCAGACTTTGCAATGACCCTGATCCAACTGTTTATCTTCTTTCCCCTTTCTATCATAACAGCTTAGACTGAATCTTCTTTAGCAATGAAAAACATCTATTTACTTGGCATGAAGAGTAAGAGACCCTCATCTTAATTTGATCCTCTTGGCACCACTGTAATTACAAACAACAATAATCAGGGGAAATGATCAAATAACTAGCGTGAAAAAACACTGAGATGCATCTTATAAATTATTCAAGCTGTCACAGTTATTAACAGCTTCCTAGATTATTGAAACTAAGCCAACAATAATGTTTTGTTTTAAATAATTTCCATCCATTACCATCATCCTTTAAGACAAAACTGCACTGACATATTTAACCTCAATGAGGATATCACCACTGCTAAGTGTTGCCCTTGGACAGAAAGCCTTGCGAGGAAATTCTTCCCTTGCAAGGATTTGCAGAGCCGTAATAATATTTCTGTGTCCATATTAAATTTTATAGCTTTTTTTTTTATTACCCAATATAAATTCGGGGTTTCTGTTACTTCCATACAATCTTAAAATAATTCCAAGGTTGTGCTGTCATCCCCAAACCATGGAAATTTGTAACCTTCATTCAAACACCGGAAATGTAACAATGTGCAACAAAAGAAACAATGTAATGCCAAGTACAATTTTCTACTACAGTAAGCTGGAGAGTGGCTGAGCAGAAAATTCATCTTTTGTGTTTTGTTACATATCAGTTGTGTTATGCACCAGTAGTCCATAAGCAGAGATCAGGCCTCTATCAAATGCTTGAATGATAATTTCTCTCGTGAAGCCATTTCTGAAGAGTCAAAAGACAACAGTAATGGCTTTCTGAAGTCAATTGTTGAAGTTGAAGCAATTGTTGAAGAAGTAGAGGCAAAAAGGAAACTAGTTTCACTCGCATTCATTTTGTACTAAATATATCTAGACTCAGCTCCAGATTCTCTACACTCAATTTTACCTAAGTGTTTCTAGAAGATGTCACTTCTGCACTGACAGAGAATGGTAAGAGAAAGCATCCATAATTCTCCTTAGCCAGAAAGTAGGAGTGGAGAACTTACGCGTCCTTCTCATTATTAAGACTTTTCAAAAAGGCCAGGACACCACACAACATGCTTCATAATGACACTGTCTGGCAGTCCGTTTGTTAGATCTTAATTTTGTCACACTGTGTCTCATGACTTAATTCAGCAGACAGCTAAGCACCACCCCGCCATTTGCTCACTACCCCTCAGTAGGATAGGGGGGACAGAAGCCAAAAACAGATTAAGACAGTAAATAAAGGGATATTAGTAATAATATTTACACAAGACAAAAATGATGCAGACTTCTCTTATAAAGCAGTTTAGAACACACTGATAAAAAATGGTGCACGTTAAGTCACTGTATCATATCAGACTGTAACTCCACAGAAAAACAGCAGGGCTTACAGAGATGGGAGAGAATCTGCTATCAAGCACCAAGCCAGTAACATATAGCAGAGTAGTCCTGGTCCACAAAGATCAGTGAAGCTGCGTACCCAAGTTACGCATTTGACACAATTTTACAAAGTTACATACTCAAAATTGTTAGTTGCTACACTAAGGATGCCTCTGCAGTTCCAAGCAGCATAGGTTTAGTTGACAGTAAAATATACTTGAGAAGGATCTCAGAGAATGCTTTCTCTGCCTCCATCCCAACACTGGAAAAATGCAATTATGTTGTTCTTCATTACTAAGAAAGAACTTAAGGAAAGCACCAAACCCCGACCATCCATCAACAGACAACATAAAAAGAGAAGCACAAACCAATGGCTTGTGGAAAAGATCTGCTCAAGGAAACAGCTGAGCAGAGCAGCCACAGTAGGAGTCTGCAGTCTTGCATCAGAAAGGGCACTGCCTCATGAATTGCACAAAACAAGGCTCTGTGCTAATACCTCTACTTCCTGTATAGTGAAACACAGTATAAACAACAAAACACAAAAACAAAACACCCTCGGCTTGTCAGCAAGTATATTATTACCAGTACTGAAAATTATCAAAGCTTCAGAGCTGGCAACATTACTGTACTGACACCTGCACTACAGATATCCACCCAGGAAGGAGTACATAATAATACTACCTTTTCACACTCAATAACAAAGCCATATTTCAGAAACGCAACAGAATTACAGATCTTTTATTTTTCAGCCTGAGAACAGTTATCACTTTATGACATGAAAAGGCTAGCATCAAATCAGTAACTCCAGACATTAAGTTTTTGTCTTTATCAAGTTTGGAAACCAGCAAGTTCTGCTGGATCTTTAACGATACGGCTCTCATTTTCTGAACACACAGGTAGGAATATCCAGTCAAGGAGGAGCATGTTCTGTTCCTGCGTGACTGCTGCTGCTGTCTAGAGATTGCAGTTCCACACTACAGAAGAAAATGAAGTTTTACACAGACAAATAATCAAGAAAATAAATAGTTTTACCGATTCTAGCCTGACTCCTTTTATGACAGAATCTCAGCTGCAGAATGAAGCTAATGCAATTAGAGCTAAGTGTTCCTCTTAGAAACCACTGAATGTAGTGGCTGGAAAATTAACGCCTTACCTTCAGTTCAAGATCAAGACAGTGCACAGTTGAAGATGTATAGGAACTGATCCTGAGAAGCACAGTCAATAGGAAACTGCTATCAGGTCTGCAAGTGCTCCCTCTGCTAAGGGCAAGACAGGGATTCTCTGGCAAAAAAAAAAAAAAAAAAAAAAAGCCACAAAATATTATCATGAAATCATGCCCAATAAGAACACATAGAAAGCAAGACATGATCAAGGCAAATTCATCCATAATCAGTAAGCTTTATAACTATTCATCATTTGATTAGGAAAGCATACCTGTACTTTTTCTAATGGTTCCTCAGTTTATATAACACATACCTTATTCAGGAAGAAAAACATATATAGAATGAAAAAGAACAAGTGGCAGGAAAGAAAATATATATAGTACGTATAATAATTATACATTCATGATGGAAGGGTCTCTAGGAAGTTATTAAGCCAACTCCCACCTCAAGGAAAGCTCAGTCTTTCCTGATCAATATTGGCCTGACCTGCTATTAATGACCAGCCACAGAGACTTCAAACCAGAAAGACTAATCCACTGTCTTTTCCTATCAGGAAATGTTTTCCTGATGTTTAGCTTTTTCTGTCAAAAATGTAGTTATGTAAATTACCACAACATGCACGACAGATGTAGAGTAGTGTTGTTTGTTTGTTTGTTTTTCCCCCCTCCCCTTTTAAAAAGGAAGCTTGTTTCAAATTTGTTATATTCTGAAAATCACCACTAATTTTAAGATGGGGAAATGATACATAGATCCATCAATATATCTCCTTGTCATTTCAGTGTAACAAAGCAGTCACCAAAATATTATTATTTCAGGGGGAAAACAAACCCTTTTATGAGTACGGTATTTTCTATGCTATTAATAGACATTAGTACATCATGGTTTTACCTCTTAAATCTCTTACAATAAATAGCACTATTTACTTTCTGGCCAGTGTAAGTTCAGTCACAAAATCTAATTTCATTAAATACAGATTTGTAGTGGAATAAAAACGGAGCCATTTATGTTGTCAGTGTCCCACAAAGGAAGATTGCCGTTGTGCTTTTGACAACAAACACTCCAAAAAGATATATTTCAAGTAGAGAAAAAGAAAAAAAAACACCACACTAAAAGACCATCCAGCATTTCACTGCTAATCAAAACTCCTCGACTCCTCTGCTAGTCAAAGAATCCTCAAAAAGTTTCTGAAGGGAAAACACAAAATAATTCTGCTTGGACTTCCTTCACATGTCTTCTGTGCAGGACTTGAGCTATACCTCCTATGCTTTCCAGGTCACTGCAAACTCCGCGTGAGCCCTGCAGTCCCTACAATGACACATGCCCATCTGACACAGCAGAAGCCAAATTTCACCTTCAGTCCCTGCACTCTGCTGAGCCCTATCTTTTCAACAACCCAAAGCTTTCTATCCTTCTCTGAAAATATCAGCTCTCTTTGAAGAAACTAAGTCATGCATGCAAGAAAATATACATATGCATTTGTATAAGTGAGCTCTGACTCAAGGGAAAGGAAATTAAGAGTGGGGATTTTCTAGGAGGTTTACCATAGATCCAAACAGAAAAAGAGTTTTAAGCCAGTGCCCTTGTATTACACATGTCACCAGTAATAATTGTAAAGTCTAGCAGTGCTAAAGTCAAAATAGCTCAGTAATGATCAAAAAAATAAGTTTAAAATAAACTACAGAAAAATCAGCTGTAAATTCTTCAGAGAGACTACTAAAACCTGAAGGCAAGTGTACATTCCAAAGCCTCCTTTAAAAAAGTTAGAGCAGCAGATTCTGGGAATTTCTCACATATGTTATTAAATGGCTAGCAGTATGCCTCAGAGTTAACTCATGACTGCAAGGAAATGACAGCAAATCTCACACAGAAGCATTTGCTCTTGCATCATCATCAAATCTATTCTGGTTCAAGTGCCAAGTCTGAGCCCAGGAGCTTTCATCATTCAGATGAGGCCCTTCCTCCAAAAAGTAGATGCCTCGCCTATTTAACACAACCACAGAAGTGCTTAATGCTAGAGCAATTCAGACCCCCAGCTTTCTGCTCTAACATGGCTTTTTACAGATCTCTCACCTGCATTTTAAATTGATAAAGCCCTTCCTTCTCTATGATACTCCACTGTGGCTCATGGGCATTCAAGATTAGTTTACGGTAAGTAGAAATTAAAGATAAGCTCTCAGTCAAAAATAGTGGTTCACAGTTCCACACACAGCTTGCAAACATACTCTGGAAATGGAAGACCCTAAATAACAGATGATATTGCAAAACGAGTGGATGCCACATGGTGAGATACAAAGCCGTCAAGGAAAGACAACATTTTGTAAAAAGTAAATAAAAACGTAGTACCAAAAAGTGACTGTATTTATTTCATACCCCCATAGGATTTGGTTTCATTCCCAAATGTTGCTATACCAATAAATCCTCCTTCCCTTCGTAGCTACAGCAACACAAAGGATAGAGGAAATGACACATAAACAATCTGTGTGTTGACAAGAAGGCAATTCTGTAATATGTTTTTATTTATGGGCAACATTTAAGCAGATGGAAGACGCGTCAAAATGAGTTTCATTTACAACATGCAGACCATGAAGAAGTCTCTGCAGGAGTGGTGCATCTTCATGACTAGAACTGCATTACTACATCTAAAAGAAAAAAAAAATACAGCACAGAAAATGTCTCCAAAGTAAAAGGAGTACGGAGTGAGGCCTTTTCCAGAAGTGCACCTAGCTGAAAAGCCTTCTCACTTTCTAAAGAAGAAACTGACAGTTTGGGTGATCAGTAACGCTGGAACCCTCACCAGTATCAAGCCCACAGCCTGGCTTTTAGAGACGGGCATCCTTCCCTCTTCCTCCCCCCTGTAAACATAACAACCATCACTTTTCCAACTGGAGGCCCTGCATCACAGCCACAATAGCAAACGTGGCCTTTACTATATGCACTAGCAGACTGCGGTTGCATTCATTACTATGCTTTGTTTGTGAGATTCCAGAGCCTACAGGAGGGGGAAAGAACAGACTGACCTAACAAGCCAATGAGAAATTTCCACCCAAACTCTGACAACACAGCACAAAGCTCCCCATGAATGCACTCACTTTTGCTGCATTGCTCTCCACCGCATTAGCTCATGCATGAAAAGGGGAAATAAATTAGCAAGGGAAAAAATATTTATGCCTCCTCCTCCTCTCCCTCCCCACTATTTCATTTGATTCTAAATCAATTTGGAAGCCCTGGTGGCATCAGAGCCCTGAAGTGCTGACAGCCACAGGGAACTTATAATAACCGAGAGTCCAGCTCTCTATTTTCCTCTCTATTGGCAAGGCCCCTTAGTCATACCATGGGACACAAGAAGGAGCAAAGCAGTTTCAGAATCCCAGTCTACTTCTAATAACCGATTTCATTTCCTGATCAATGCTGAATTTAAGAGTTTCCCACACATTAATGAGGCATCCCCACACAGTGCTCGGATAATAATCATCTCACCCCCCTCCTCCCACACTCTCTGGCAAATCTACCACCTTACGTCATGATCACATTTACCAAAGGTTTGGTTTGTAGCTCAATATTCCAGTTATATGTTGTGAATGTGCTTTTCTGTCTCCTTTTGCTAGTTATGGGCTCATTAGACTATCTTGATTGCATTTGGTGAGATGGGGGGGGGGGGGGGCTCAAAAAGTCTACGCTTTTTGCAGGAATCAGCTGCAAAGAGAGTTTGGGACCCTGCCTTAGGAAAAGGCTGTAACACATGTGCACCACCTGACTAGGTCTTAGAGAACCCACACAGGTATATCTCAAGAAACAAACGTTCATTAGCTCTGCCTCTAAGCCATTCCTTCTTTTTCTAGTCTTCCTTCAGTTTCATCCAAGTTCTGTGATACTAAGCACAAACTTAGCCTGCAATATTTTGCAATATTCCCCATCTGGCAAAGCAATTCATGCAGTGTTAGGAGGGTGTGGAAAGCAATGGCAGGAAGCCAACAGAATCATGCCTGCAACATGCAGCATCACAGAAGGACCTTGAATTCAAGTCAGGCTCCTTCCACCTCATGCAACAAACATCAGAACGTGCAATACAGCAGTGCCAATAAAGTAAAGAAGCCTGTGGTGCACTCCTGCCCCAGCAACTCACTCTTGTTCCTGAAGCATGCCGCTACAAGCACGCTGCTATAAGCGCCCACTTTCCTGCAAGGCTGCTTGTAACAGGAAACAACGGGGCAAAAGAACAGGCCTGCCCATTGCGAATGAAACATTCACAGCAAACAGGATGGGGAATAAGCCACAATGAGCCATGATGGTTCTTGTAGCAATGCAGGTGGCTCAAATGCAGAGCAGGTTTCAGTTTCACAACGTATTTCTGGAGGTGCATATTGCTGGAGCTCTGTTATGCCAGACAACACTATCCATGTGACTACAAAATCAACTACCAAGAAATACAGGCTTAAAATACAGCGTTTGTCAGTACTTGCGAGTTCAAGTTAAATTCAGCTGATAGATACAGCTGGGGATTAAAAGCCAGTAGAAATGAAAACAGACTATTGCAGTAATTTAAAACGGACTATTTTGACCCTTCTTCTCAAAGTACTTTTCTCTCACCCGGAGTCTCCTTACTTCGCAAAATTCGTTATTTTCTTTCACCTTCCACCAACTGAAACATTGTTTCACCTATTCTATAGGTTCCGATAGACAGGAGTGCCTAAAGTTTCAGCTTCACAAAAACAAAGAAACGCGCACGGACAGCGCCAGAAGAAGAGTTCTCCCTTTCAGATCAATAGGAAAAAGGGCAAGTTTCTGGGAAAAAAAAAAAAAAGAAAAAAAAAGAAAAAAAAAAGAAATCTGAAACTCCCCGAGAGTTTCTTTTCTACGGCTCTTCACAGCTTTGCATAGTTAAACTGCAGATCAGGCTTGAAAGTTACGACCTATGCTTCATAAAAGTGCAAGTTGCAGACTTTTGGATCTGAAGCCCGTGAAAGCTTTCAGTGGCTGAACAGAGCCAGCTGAGCACAGTACTGAGACTACAGATACGTACGCACCTATACCATTCATTCCGGTTGTTCTAACCTGCGTGTCTAAGATTAAAGAAAAAAACTGACTTACTTCTTCCATAGTTTTGCTCGCCCAAA